AATATATATATATAATGTATTTTGTACATATATATATATATGCATATATATTTATTTTTAATTACATTAAAAAATTTTAATTACTTTAAATGAAGCTGGGTAACGGTGCCTCTTTTTATATGTACGAGACACTTTACTGACGCCGTATGGCCGCACATGCGCAAACAAACCGGTCCCTAATCGGAACACTGACTGCTGCCCACACGATAGCAAGTACGCACATCTAGTTAGCAATCCAGCAGAGAAAATAGTACCGTGTGCCGCGGGCTTTAACGATGTCATTATGGTAACGTTGCGCAGCTATTACATGATACAAAAAACCTGCGCAATGATACCATAACGGCATCGTTAAGGTTATAGAATCCTGCTACAGATGTCGCTGGAACGCTTTCGTTAGCCATTGCGATTTGCAGTCACGCTCTGTCGGTTGTACATGATCAATGCATATGATATATAAAATTTAAATCGCGACAATCATAAATGTAACGAAGTTTTCGAAAGGTGTAAATTATTATACATAGTATTCTATTCAAGTGGAGGGAAAACAATTTCTATTAAGGCATATAAAATCGAAGTGCATTTAAAATTGCGTCGCGATAAGCGCGACGATTGGTATCCAAATCGGTATGCAGATATTGCAGGTATTGCATACATATCCCGATGTTGTTAGTGCGATTATCATAGACTGAAATTATATTTGTGAAAACTAAAAGAACGAGAATGCAAAGTATATATTAACACTTAACGGTCATCTTTATTACATTATTTGCAAAAAAAACGATAATATTAAGTAATGTTATTATTACATTTGAAAGTAACATTGTTGCGAGCTCTAAAGTATTAATTAGTATCAATCAAGTTGAGACGAAACACGTCGTGAGCCGACCCGAACCGAGCCGAACCAAGTCGAGTCGAACCGAATCAAACCGCCATTATAGTAAGTTACGTATACTATGATGATTTGCATACTGTGGAACGAAAGTATAGCTAAAGCGATGAATAATATAATATTTCCTCAATGAGAAAAAACTATTTAAGACCTAATTGGCGGCAGACGAGAAGTATACATAAATTGCTGACTGTTTCTGCTTGTTTTTATACTGTAATTAGCAAGCAAAGCGTCTGAGACGAAAAGATCGTAGTGGAGAACATCGATCGAACGCGATCATTGAATTCCGCAGATACTTATGTCAGCGTTGCAGTAGTTCTTGATGTGTAAACAATTACAGCTGTGAGTGTCATTCGACAATTCCTGATTATATAAGTCGCATATGAAAAAATGCTATGGTGGAGAAAAAGTGTATGAAATTCTTTCGATTTCTTGCAACGGATGGTGGCTCTTAAAAATGACTGACTCCACTTCTGCCGCTTCTACTTTTGTCAGGTAACATTTGTACATTCTCTCGTATATATCGCATGATCTTTTACAATTGTACCATTTGTTATATATTTTCAAATTGCTAAATAATGTGCGAGATCAGTTTTTATGTAAATATCGCATACAAAGATATTTGTATGCTTCGTGAAAAACGTGTTGTCTTAACCTTACATTGTGTATAAAGTGAGTAAAGAAGGAGAAAGGAGAAAGGAGAAAGTATTGTGTGTATGAGTGTATGTGTTTAAAAAAAGGTAATAGATTTTGAGAGCAGATAGCATTCGTAAAAATATGGAAAAAAGCTCTTAATGAACATAGCTTTTAAAACCAATACTTTCATAATTACATATCTTATTTCGAATATAAAGATCCATGCACATTATTTGTATATATGGGGTCTTCTAGATTGGCTTGCATAATCTTCTGGCTATAATTAAGGATTTTATAAGGTGTTTAATATGCAGTCAACCTCATCCTCATCAGTTTATTGACACTCAAATTATATATATAAAAGCACTTGAAGCATCTGAGTTTAGTTGAAATTTGCATGATCTAATAACCATAATCTTTTTGTTGTAATCAAATAAACAATTTGTAAAAGAATATTCAAGACGGGGAAAAAATTTGGATAAAAGTACATCTTGCAGGATAATCAGCAATACAGTGACTTTATTGAAATGTGTCATTCGGACAGTATTTGTGATATTAAACAATGTCTATTGCATACCTACATATGTGGTATGGATGATGTTATTGTTTCCTGTAAAAGTATATCAACCCCAAGTGTACTGGCGAATCGAAGGTCTATTTTTTCATTGGTTGTTGGCAATGGTGTCTATGTGGACTTGGTCTGCAGGTTACGACAGTAAGTACAAGCGATGCAAATACAAATTGAGAAAGAATAACCAATAAGTAGATCTAAAGATAATATTTATGTTTGTTGTTTATTAGTAATAGAACAAGGTGATGACATACAGGAGATCATAAGTGAAAAAACATTAGTTATAGCGAATCATCAGAGCACTGGTGATGTTCCTATATTAATGACAACGTTTAACGCTAAGGCAAATGTTTTGCCCAATTTAATGTGGATAATGGACAGAATATTCAAATTTACCAATTTTGGAATAGTTTCTATATTACATCAAGATTTTTTCATCGTATCGGTAAGTATGAATTTGCTTCTTGAGAATGTATTAAAGAATTCAAGGATAGGTCCATTATTGCCCATTATCTTCAGCCATTATATATTAGATAACTACAGGGTCGTAAACGAAGGGAAGAAAGTTTAAAACAATTAGAAAAACATCTTAAAGAATCTTACATACCACGAGATAGAAAGTGGATGGTACTCTTCCCAGAAGGAGGCTTTCTATGCAAAAGACGGGAGACCTCGCAAAAATACGCCAAGAAAAATAATTTGCCTATTCTTGAGAATGTGACTCTGCCGAGAGTAGGTGCCATGCAAACGATATTTGACACTCTTGGACCGGTACCGAGAAGAGATATCACGCAGGATCAACAATTAAATAGTCGACCAAGTAAGACTACATTTCGTATTAAAACTCATTCAATATTATATATTAAATCGTTTTACAAAAAGTTTCAAGAAAGTGTGTCTATTTCTCGGTCTCTAAATTAATCACACTGATGAAACTTTGCATGCACAGACCTTATTAATGAATACACACACGTTTTTGTTGTTTCGTTTATATTCTTGTTTTTCGCGTTTTGAGTGACGTCGATTTCATCATTATCAGTATGCATCAAGGAAAAACAAAGGTCTGTGTGGTTCGGTTTTTGTGTGATCAGAAGAAAACAAAACTTGTTGAAGTTATTTCCATAGATTACGCGCATATAGTAATGATGCATTAAAAGATTAAAATAGGTTGTATATGAACGTGGGTAACAACGATATGTTCAAAAAGGAGCGAACATTAGTTATTGATAAAGCGCGATTCGATGGATTTTCTTTTTGATCAAGCTTTCCTTACTCCTAATAATATCCAGATAGCGCGTACTCTCATTCTGAATAATAGAACAGGCGTATATTTGCAAATAAAATAGGATATTAGAAACAAGATTAAAGCCGGCGATTTAAAGAAAATGTTTTGTTTTCCGCTTCTCTTCTTACGCTATTCTTTCACTACTTTACGTTTGTCTTATCGTTAGAGTGAAATAACGAATAAAAATAGAAGATACCATGCAGTATGTAAAGAGAAATAATGAGGAAAATATTCATTATTACGGATTATAGGTTTCTTTTCTTTGATATCTTCTGTTATTATGGATGAATATTAAAATTCGTCGCATAATATCTTCTGTCTTTTATTTGCTTTTTCTCACTCTAATGTGATCACACGGTCAAGTAAACATAAAATAATGGAAATCAGCTGAAGAAGGATATTGAAGAAAATTGAAAAAACATATTAATATTGAAGTTTGACTATAATTTCATTGAAAAAGGGTTGATTTACAATATATTGATGCTTTCAAATTATATGCAAATTTTAACGTAATTGTTGCGAGTGAAGTAAAGCGAGCAGTAAATATTATATGTGATATTCAATATTTACAGATATGACAGTAGCTAAACCAGAAATTAGTTGGGTTCTTGATATAACGATAGCGTATCCTCAAGGTAAGCCGCTTGACTTACCTACTATTGTAACTGGTTCGAGACCTCCGTGCGAGACTGTGTTATTCTATCGACTTTTCCCTAGTTCAGTGGTAAGTAACTTAATGTGAGGTATAATGTCTTCGCACAATTGTGCATTATTGTACAGCGCGATATTCGTAGGTTCCTCGCGAGCCAGAACAATTATCCAAATGGTTATACGACAGATGGGTAGAAAAAGAAACACTCTTGGAACATTTTTATAAACATGGAACATTTCTCGGGCCAAATGGTTCGACTAGAGGAAGTTCCAAAGTACATCAGGATCCACTGAGATTCCTAGTCCTTCATTTATTTTTCATAACTTCTAGTTATATACATTATAGCATGCTTGCGTACGTGCTATCTTGCTTTTGGTGAGATATTTTATACGACGCACGACGATTCGGTTATAGAAGGAAATTGCAGAGTAACGAAATAAGATATTCTTGCCTTAAACAATCATTTTGATGTCTGTACGAGCAACTTTAACGAATGTGCGAATCACCAAACTCAACTAATTATAAAAATATCATCTATGACATATATTTTTATTTAATGCAACAGAGTTGGAAGCACGGGTGTATTTACGGCTTGTGTTATTCTATATATAAAACGTATAATGTTATCTTAAACTTGGTCTCGAAATATCAAACACATTTTATATTTAGTAGTAAAATATATTAAATATCATTAAAAATAACCCACTTTTGTGATTTTAATATCTGCGGCGTGTTTTCAAAATTATTTTTATCGTGCCATGTATCCTCTATACTATACAAAATATAGGTTCCATAACAAAGTTGATTTCACAAATCAATATATCTGTGCATTTTTTAATTTGGTGATGGAAAAATCGTAGAACGAAATCATCAGTGATTTATAATTACTGATTTATAATTTCTTCACTTTGGATATTGTATGATATATAAAAATATTTAATTGTAAATTTAGATGCAGCACACACTCGTGCACACACGCATGCATGCACGCACGAATTGGAAATAAATATCTGAACTCGGTACCTATAATATCGAATGTTATATGATCTCTTTTATTGAGACAGTATAAAATTATTCAAGAAGCTTCTATATGAATATGGCGCTTAGATTATTCATCAATAGTATACGATTTTATGGCCATTAATTCGCACAATCCTATTCTACGTTACATAATAAACATTAACCAATTTTATTTTTTTAGCTAAACGAATTTAAAAATGATGATTTGTATTAATTTTTATTATCTTTACTTATGACATACGGATATATTCGTGCACTTATTCGCACATGTATCTGGAGCCTGGCAGTATATACTAGGTGCGCAACTAAGTTTCCGGGTTTTTTTATCTAATGCAAAATGGAAAATTTCAAGAGAAATACAAAAAACGGTTTATTCAAATATCGTCCTCGCTAGCTACACATTTTTGCCATCTCTCTGGCAATA